CCTGATCCTTTTACCTCAGGTAAACCGGGCACGACAGATGCTTTACGGGGAACATATTGGTCGCGTCGTAAAGTAACGGTGTATCGGAAAACAACGGAATTTCTCGTCACCTCAGGCCTGCCCTTTAGACTTCGATTATCAACTTGTAATTTAGAAACACCTTGTGCATTATAATTACTTTACGCATGCAATTGTCGCTTACGTACAGGGTTGGATAGTAATTAGTTAAACAGTTAAAAATTAAGTTAAAAAGTTGAAAAGTTAGTAACTTTTAAATTAACTTAATTAATTTTAAACGTGTTAACTTTTAACTTAAACTAGTTATTTTTAAATGCATTATTGTTAATTTATTTTTAATATTTAAAGTTTTAGTTAATTAAACTTTTTTATACAAGTAAAAACAATTTAACAGTATTGAAATAATGTGAAAATAGTTAGATCGTAATGCGAATTACAACAAGTTTGTCGGATGTATCAATTCACTGTTGGATAGAAAATAAATTTTTAATTTTAACGAGTTAATAATTTTTTAATTTAATTTTAACTGAGTTAATTTTTGTTTAAATAACATTTAACGTTAATTTTAGTTCATTTTTGGACCATTAACTTTAAATTTAACTTAAAAAAAAAAAAAAAATTAACTCAATCCTGCTTACGCATATACGATAATGAATGTAATTTTGCGTATTTCACGCGAATGAAAAAGATGAATGAAATTATTGGAAATATTTGTAACCTTCTCCTGACAATTATTTTCCCGAAATACCGAGATAAAAGGTCGAAGCTAAATACATATATCATATAATAAAAGTTTCTTCGAATTTTACTCTCACACAGATCGACTGATTCAACAATGAAATAAAACGCGCCGAACGTATATACGTATATACAGAATGTGTGGAGGAACGGAGTCAATGTTTTTAGGTCATGTGATACATCCTTGCGCACGCTGATATCATCGCCGCATAGTAAACGTGACGTAAGCGCTTGTAGTAACGTCAGGGGCCCGGCCTCTGTTCTTGTTTCTCCTTGTGGCGGGTGGCACCGAAACGCGCACTCTGACGCCGAAAATTATTTCCTTCCTACGCCAAATATTCGGTCCTCTG